GGTCTAGAAACTGAAGAGGGTTCCTTAAAAAAAAGTCGTGTCCCTCTTGAATGGTCTGAAGAGAAATCCTTGAATCTTGATGTTTAGAATAGGTGGTGAGAACAGGGAGAGGATCATCATGATCTGCTACCTGCTAGCAGAAGGGAAGGAAAGTGGGTCCCTGCTTTGTGAATACATGAATAAGCAGTCCCTGAAGTGTCCCTATCAGTCCTCTCCAGGAGGGGCCTTGTGGCCTTGTTTTCTGAGCTATCTGGGTATTTCCTGCAGCCTTAAGTTATCACTCAGGGGAAAACCTCCTTCAGCAGACTCTCCTCTACAAGCCTCAGTTTCCATCTGGTCCTGAGTTCTGAGATTTGGCAAGAGGAACCTGTACCATCAAAAGTAGGAGGCTTGTTCATCTCAGTGTTCCACTGCCCTTCTTGCCCCAAGGTCCCCATTTCTAAAGGACACTTCACATTCCTGAGCCAGGCTTTCTGGAAAGAGCTGTTGAGTAACTGCTGCTGAGAGTTACATGCCTGAGTGTTCCAGGGTGGAGATCACAACTCAGCCAGTCCAACAGTCCAGTGAAAATACACCAAACCAGACTGGATCAGCCAGCCCTGGTTTCTTAAATACACATTTCCACATTTTCAAGAGCTATTGTTTGCTTTCCTGTGCTGAACATTTTTAAATGCATAGGCCTTTATTTTGCATTACACGAGCAGAATCTCTCTTAAGATTTCCGTTATGGTAACAGCAATTTCTGTCATGGTGAAGACCATATGCAATAAATACCTCATTTTAAACGTACCTGAAATTGATAACCCTGGACCTTTTAGTAGAAGGCCTAAGTTATTGCTTAATATAACCTGTTTTCATTTACATGTCTCAAAATCTTTTCTTAAAGTACTGTAATTTTGTAATAGACCGTTTTCTTCCTGCCATTATTTTTCTTCCTTTCTCTGGTTCCAAACCTTTCCTGGAATTTAAAGTTGGATACAGGTTTTGGAAAGCTGCTTCTAAGAATAATGTCCACCTACCCCCTCAACATCATCCCAGACTCAAAACTGATTAGCTCCTTGCTCTGAGGGGGAAAGCAAGCTGTCGGAGCTTATAGATTTCTATACTCGTGTTCCTTTGTTGCAATCTTTTTTTCTTTCTTTTTGGGGATGGGGATCAAATCCAGGTCCTCACACATGCTAAGCACACACTCTTACTGAGCTACAACCCCAGCTCCAACTCAACCTTCTTCTTCCACAAAAGTCGTATTAACAGGAATATTTTTGTTCCTGTTGGACTGATGAGTTTTTCAAGTTTTGTTACAGTTGATGAGTTTCTAAATGTAACTGGCGTCATGGCATATTGAGAAACCAAAAGTTCATTCTAGCATTTCTGAAAAAACAAGTTTTAATTGTAAGCATTTCTGCATAGTGCCTCTGTGCCTCTGTATGTATTATGTCTCTGCCTGTACCAGGCTTCTAAAGAGAGTCGTGTGTGTGTGTGTGTGTGTGTGTGTGTGTGTGTGTTGAATAAAATGAAAATATATTGCTGTTTTCATTCCGTTTTAAAACTGATACTGAAACAAATAACAGTAGTTTTAGTTAAAATGCTGCTAATTTGCATACCTCTTACTTGAATGTTTTGATAAGTTTAATAATTCCAAGTGATGTCTGTATAATTTTTAAAGTACGGCTGTCTAACACATGTGCATTAAAACTACTGATTAAACAGCATCTTTAAGGTTTTAAGATGTAATTGTATATATTCGAACCCATGGAGGCTTCTCATTGGCAATCAAGTGATCATGAAAAACAAGTCTGTTGTTGCTCTTGGCCTTTTCTGAAAATTAGATGAAAGAACTGTTTAATGTAACCATCAGAGGAATGCTTTTAAGACTCCTTGGCTCTGTTGAAGCCTAGAAGTGTACTTGTGCTTTTTAAACTTATAACACATAAAATTATTTCAGGCATTCCTCATCCCACTTCCAGAGAAAACCACTGATAATATTCATTTTTATTCTTCCAGAAAATTGATACATTCTTGCAGGCATATACATGTGAGTGTATGTTGTGAAATACAGATTTCCAAACTTCTTTTTTCTCCTTAATAACATCTTGAAGACCTTTCCATGTAAGCAGTGACCTCATTCTTTTTTATGGCTGCGTAGCATTCCACTGCACCTGTGGATATTTAACTATGCAACCATTAATGGATGTCTGGATTGTTTCTGCCTCCCCCTCACCCTTTGCAAAACACTGGGAGCTAGAATTTTTAAAGCTCCTGCAAACATTTCTGTGTTGCCCCATTCTGTTGTTTTTCGTAAGGCCGACTTGCAGGTTCTTGCAATCATAAAATGTTATTATCCCAGCAAAGAAAAGAATCCAGTTAGGCAAGTCTTTAGTTTGCATCAACCCTTCAGTTGGCAAAGTGAATTCCTGCAGCTACACATCAGATTGCCGCTACCCACTTGTGTTAGGTATTGGAGAAGAAGGAATTAATGTCGCCAGGGTAGCAATACAAGGTCCAATTCTTAAGAAATGAGAACTTCTGAGCCTATCTCCTTTATGTAGTGTGTGACTTTACTTACTTAGTTCTATTTTGTGTATTTTGTGTCTAATGTATGCAATGTGCTTGGGGCATGGATAGCTTTGCATCTTAAATACACATTTAAGAAGATGTGATTTTTTTTTTTTAAGAGAGAGAATCTTTTTTTTTTCTTTTTTGTAGATGGACACAACACAATGCATTTATATTTTTTTTTATGTGGTGCTGAGAATCGAACCCGGGTCCCGCCCGTGCTAAGTGAGCGCTCTACCGCTGAGCCACAATCCCAGCCCTCATCCTGTGATTTTGTACAATTGTCTTTTCTGCAATAAAGTATCCTTATTTTTTTAAAAAAATATTCTTTTTAGTAATAGATGGACACAATACCTTTATTTTATTTATTTATTTTTATGTGGTGCTGATCGAACCCAGTGCCTCACATGTGTTGGGCGAACACTCTACCATTGAGCCACAACCCAGCCCCCCCTTATTTTTAAAATAGAAAAACAATACAAAAATTGATTTTAGATTTAATAATTGAATTAGGGAGTAATGTTTTTTATTTTTGAGATTTTGTTTTGTCACTTAAAAAAATGGAAACTACAGAGAAAATTTAAAATCATTCCTGAGTACCATGTATGGACACCCACTGCTAATCTTGGCAAAATTGCTTTTAGTATAGAAAGTTATGAAGAGAAGAAAACCGGAAATAAGGAAAGAAAGAAAAATTTAGTCTTCTCTCTTCTTTTTCACCAAAGAGTTGTGTTATCAAAAGTTCATTATCAACATTGCAGCGGGCTACATAATATAACAGCAGTCAGATGATTCCGTTTTTAACATTCCCTTAGCTCTTAATATCTTATTTCCAAATTATCCCAATAATAAATGACTGGAACATCATACATGTTTGTCAACACTTTTCTCCTTAAGAACAGAGACCAAGAGAATTTTAGCAAAGATATTGAACATGCTAAGGCATTTGGGAGCCAAATTTATATTTTCAGTAGCTTTATGTGAGACTGTTACATTGCATCATTATTAAGAACTTAAGATTCATCATAAGTTTGAATTAGTATATATAGTGTATTAATTTGAACACTGTAGACAACTAGCAATCTAAATTCAATTTTATAAGATCGGTTCATCTTAAAAATTTTTATAGTAAACTTGGGAAAACTATATAAAAAAAATCCAAGGGTGCAAAATGAAAGTTCCCCCTTCTGAAAGTCTCAACCTTCTGATGTTAACCAATATCAAACGTTGTATTTTATATTCTTCCAGATGTGCATCTTTGGTTCTTTTTCTGGCCTCATATAATACATCACTCATTTGAAAAGTTATATCTGTTGGGTAGATCCCCTACAAGTAGGACTGTCATCTTAGTGTAAATATGCTTTCAGAAGTACATGTTGCAGGGCTGGGGTGTGGCTCAGAGATAGAGCACTCACCTAGACTAGGTTCAATCGTCAGCACCACATAAAAATAAAGGGGGCTGGGGATGTGGCTCAAGCGGTAACGCGCTCGCCTGGCATGCGCGGGGCGTTGGGTTCCATCCTCAGCACCAGATAAAAATAAAATAAAGATGTTGTGTCCACTGAAAGCTGAAAAATATTAAAAAATTCTCTAAATAAATAAATAAATAAAGGCACTTAAAACTAAAAAAAAAAAAAACATGTTGCAAATTTTCCCTCTTGAAAAAAAAAAAGTTGCAACAGTATAAAGGCACAGCAATAAAGTGGGTACAAAGTACAATATATATTCTGTAGGAAATCTGTCTGAAAATTGAGGACTGGGAAGAAAGTTAAAGTGGGCTGTCGGGCCTACTGAAGGCAACACTATTGACCCCGTGGCCACCTGAATTTCACTATGTAATTTCTACTGTGTGTGTTTTTGGTTTTCCGTTTTGTTTTGGTACTGGGCATTGAACCCAGGGGCGCTTTACCACTGAGCTATTTATTTTGGGACAGTCTTGCTAAGTTGCTGTGGGCCTCGCTAATAATTGCGGAGTCTGGCCTTGAAACTGGGATCTTCCTGCCTCGGCCCCCCTGGGATTACCGGGGTGCGCCACTGCACCCCACTAATTTCTAGTTTTTAAGAGGAAGTGGGAAACAGAAAAATCTTCCACAGAGGTAAAGCAAAAGTTACAACGGCTATGTCAATAACCCTCCTGGTCGTCTTTCCCGGGAATTTCGATGAGAAAACTTGAGCCTGTCCAGACCTTTCTTAAGAGCAATTTAGCATTCTTATCGCCATAGCAACCCAAGGTTGCTTCTGAGTGATTGATAGGAACCGCATCCAATAGAGTGGGTCCATTTGCAGCTCTCAGCCAATCACGTGAAAGCGTGGGCCCGGGGCGCTTCCACTGGTACCAGGGCGAGTTGCGTCTTCTTTACGTCTGCTTACATCATCACTCCGCGCCAAGAGCACAATTGACCCGCAGAGCTAAAGAGCGTCTGCTTTGTGAGCCGGGAGATGAGTTGCGCCGGGGCGGCGGCAGCTCCCTCCCTATGGCGGCTGCGCTTGGGCGCCCGGCGGCCTCTCTCAGGTAAAGCGGGGACGCGCGGCCGCAATACTGCCTTGGGTCACGGGCCGGGGAAAGCTTCAGGTTCGGGTCGGAGAGGTCACGGGGAAGACGTTCTTGTACGTCACAGGCACGCGACGGTGCGAGACTGCGTGACGTCAGCCGGGGGCGGGGTTTGTAGTACCCCGCGAGAGTGACAGGTGGGTTTCGGAGGTGAAGCTTGGTTGGGGCTTCGGCTTAGGGTTGGCTCGGTGGGTGATGACGTAACCGCAGACCTGCCCTGAAATACACTGAAGACCGAAATGTTGAACTTGCATAGACAGTATTGCCTGCCCAGGCTTGAGCCCGAGATAGTTTTTCTTTCTGCTAAAAATGTCGCTATTATATACATTTACAAATATGAGACGATACCCACTATTTTCATGAATATGTGCTAATTTTAAAATGGAGATTAGCATGAAAATGTTTACAGTGTGCCATCTGCAAGTGGAGATATTTCCTTGATTAATAAATGGATTCGAATTTTTAAATTTAAAATTTTTAAATTTTAAAATGACGAGTGTTATTTAATATCAATTCATAAGCTGCTTTAAAATCCTCCCCTATACCACTGAAAAATTTCCAGGGACCGTCATTGGATATGGGATACATGGATGTAAAATGATAAAATTGAGGGCACTGACCCTAGATTGCAAAGTATGTGATAATGCGATCAGAACTCAAAGAGTTGTTGAATGTGGATTTTAATGCAGTCCTGCTGAGCCGATGAGCGTAACATAATAAGAATCATTCATTTTATTTATAAAGTTACTTTGCTTCCCAGATCACATTTTATCCTCATGATAACTCAGGAAGAAAAGTTTTATTATTATATGTTTTCCCTTCAAAGGAAATACCTTGGCCAGTGTGGTGGCATATGCCTATCATCCCAGCTGTGTGGGAGGCTGAGGCGGGAGGATCCCAAGTGTGAGGTCAGCCTAGGCAATTTAGTAAGACCAGTCTCAAAAGAAAACTAAAAAGGGCTGGGGACATAGCTCAGTGGTGGAACTCCCCTGGGTCAGTCCCAATTGCTGGGAGGATGGGGGGATAGCCTGATTATTGGGAATTTTTTTATGTAAGAAATATTCTGATTTGTGTGATTTACAATTAGAAATTGGAAAAACATTTTCTTTGTTCTTTAAATTGTACATGGTCCTTTTATGCTTTGCAGAAAAAAAATGATTGCTATCTGCAGACCCAGGGACATGTATTTCTGATTCTAGGCATATTCGTTCTGGGGCCCATCTCATGCTTTACAAAGATACTTTGCTGAGATTGTGAAAAAATGAAAATAGCAAATATTATGATACCCAGGCCTTTCACCACCATTCCACAAACCCCACTACCCCCACCACCACCCCTGTCAAAAAACCTCAACTTATCAAGTACCTGCATCTGGTAGGTTCTTTTTTGTTCTGTTTGGGTACTGTGGATTGAACCCAGGAGCCTTTAACCGCTGAAGCCCTTTTATTTTTTATTTTGAGACAGGGTCTCACTGAGTTGCTTAGGACCTCACTAAATTGCTGGTTTTAAACTTGTGATATTCCTGCCTCAGCCTCCTAAGTTGCTTGAATTATAGGCATGCACCATCATGCGCGGCAGGGTGCCTGAATCTGGAAGAGTGAAGTCATGTTAGGGAACAGTCTAGTCTGTTTTAAATACAAACATAATCCTGCCTGTTGCCTGTTAATAGCCCTGTTAATCTGTGTGGGTTTGAACTCAACCTGTATACTCAGCCCCTTGCTATTTCTCAGTAACTTTTTAAAATGTACTGGGTTGTCCCTAACTTTGTTTCCCATAATATGTTTTTGGGTACTGGTACAAGTGAAAGAACAAGTAAACGAGATAATTTTGAAAAATTGAGCCAACTCTTCAACTTCCACTATTAGATCCCATCTTTCTACAAGGAGATCAGTCTGCTGGAGGCACCAGTCCTTGGACTTGGAGGCATAAACTTATGCCAGGCTACTTTGACTTTGTGCAAGGTCTCATATTGTTCTCCACATGAAACATGACCATGGCAACAGTGACCCACTGTCTGATGGCACAGCCCTGAGTGGGGTAGTATGATTGGCAGGTCTTAGACCCCATCTGGTCTTTGATCTCTGGTTCTTGGGCTCAATCCAGATTCTTCAGTCAGACATGCTCAGTGAGACGGCGCAGGTCATGCAGAGGAGGAGACCAAAGCAGAGTCAGGATACTTCGGAATCTCATCTCCACACTTCTTTGTTTAAAGACCTGAACTGGTAGAAAAGTTCAAATTAAGAACCACCAAGCCTATGCGCCTTGTGTCCAAAGCCCTCAGGCATTTTTAAATGGAAGAACCATAGGTGTACCCAAAATAAGTTTTTTCACACATATTCTGGTTGTGAAAAGATACAATAGTCACAGCATAAGTGCCATGAAACACATTTCAAAATGATTCCAGTGTAGGTCAGAGTTGACACTACCAACTACTTGACCTCTGTGTCTCAATTTTTCTATCTACCAAATGGGGCAAACCCACCTTAGACACCTAAGCATACTACGGAACCCTTCTCTTGGGGGGGTACTTCTTGAGATCCCCTAATTTGGGGCTCAGATTAACCATTTATTGATGTTTTAATAAATTAAATCCCGTGTGTCCTAAAGAGTTTACATTTTGAAGATAAGAGGAGTTCAGTTGAAGTGATTTGGGACCAAATGATTTAAAAAAAAAAAAAACCTGAGTCACAAGGCCAGGCTCTGAAGACCCAGTGCCCACAGGGTGGTGTTTAGGAGGACGTCAGCTGTGGTTTCCACCTTTGCCTGCAGAGGCTTGTAGAATACCTGTGGTGGGGTGGGACGGGAGCTTCCTGGAGATCAGCTGGGGAGGGGCCGAGTGGTTTTGAGTCGAGGTTGCAGCCACTCCACAGCCTGGGTTGGAGAGAACAGCAGGAGGAGGGGGTGAACTGGGAACCATGCCCCCTGGAAGCAGCCGCCAGGGTCACCATTCCCTGGTGAGAAGACACCATTCCCTGGCCTTTCCAGATCTCTACCCTTAAAGTGAAGTGGAAGCCCAGATCGTTAGGTGAGATCTTCTGTGTTTTAACACTGCAGGTTCACACTGTCCAACACTGTTAAACACTTCCACGTTTAACACTGCAGAACGCACCGCGGGCACGTCTGCCCAGAGGAGGTCGTTCATGACCTTCGTCCTAAAGTGCCCCCTGTCTGTTAAGTATCTCAGCCAGGCAAGGTGGCACATCTGTTCAGGAGGCTGAGACGGGATCGCAGGTTCAAGGCTGGCCTGGGTAACACAGCGAGACCCTGTCCCCAAATAAAATCAGAAGGGCTGGGGCAATGTGGCTCAGTGGTAGAGGCCTAGCACGTGTGATGCCCTGGGTCGCATCCCCAGTGCAGAAGGCGGGAAGGGAGGGAGAAAGAAGCGTCTGGATTTCTCCTGGGAGTAATGAAGGACCCACACCCGCATTGCAGCTTGCGGAGGCAGAGTCGCCGCGAGGGCCCACAGTTCTGGGATGACCTTAGACAACGTCAACCGCGCCGCCCTGGACCGAATCATCCGGGTGGATCATGCAGGTGAATATGGAGCCAACCGAATCTATGCGGGCCAGATGGCCGTCCTGGGCCGGACAAGCGTCGGGCCGGTCATTCAGGTGGGCACTTCCTTGTTCTTCTCAGCCTGGTCCTCCGATGGGTGGATCTGAAGGCCTTGCAGTAATGACCACATCAGTCACGCATTCCTTCCCCAGGGAGGTGCCGCCACCCTCCAGAGAGCGCACCCTGGTTCCTGGGGGCAAGGTGTGGAGCACAGATGCAGAGGGCAGGAGGAGACCAACCGTGTGTGGGTGGCATTCAGATTTCATGGAGGGCACAGGCGGTGACCCAGAACATTGAGAAGAGAATAATGAACAAACATTTGCTACCAATAGTACTTACATTCACCCGTGTTTTCACCCCAGATCTCAAAGCTCACTCAAGCCAGTGGTTGGGGTGTGGAGACCATCCAAGATGAGTTGCCTGCTCTGAGTCCTTGGGCAAGTTACTTAACCTCTCTGTGCCTCACATTCTTCACCTGTATAATGGGGATAATGATAGTTTGCTCTTCACCAGGTGGTTGTGGATTGAGCAGGTGACCTGTGTGAAGCCATTTGACAGTAGCTGGCACTAAGAAGGGCCACCTGCGTGTTGGCTGTTTCCATTCTACTTTTTGCATTTGATAGCAGTTGTGCTCACATTCTAGTGATCTGGAAGGGAATTAGCACTAGTTAACATTCCGTCCTCCTGGTTTTGAAATGGGTGAGACATCTTGCTCATGTGCATGGATCTGTGTCACTGAGTGGGCGTTGTGGTTCTGGGGGACCCTGTGGGACCATGGCCCATGGCATCCTTAGCTGCACTTGAGATGACAGGCTCCTCTGGTGGTTTGTTGGTATTCCCTTCTCGGTGACAAAGACTCCTTTTAATCTGATGTTTTAGTTTTTCAGTGACGTTGGGGACTGCGGAGACAGCGGTTGTCCTGGTCCCTGTTTCCCTTTGACCTCCCACCTGCCAGGGTGGCCTCCGTAGCGCCTGCCTGTCTTCATTCTTCTGCTTCTTACAGAAAATGTGGGATCAAGAGAAGGACCATTTGAAGAAGTTTAACGAGCTGATGGTTGCCTTCCGGGTCCGGCCGACGGTTCTCATGCCCTTTTGGAACGTGGTGGGCTTTGCCCTGGGTGAGGCTTGTGTGAGCTTCCGGGTCTGGTGATTCATCACGTGGGTCCCGTTTACTCAGGTTTTTTTTTTTTTTTAAGTTAAATTGATTGGATTTCTTTTTTCTTTTTCTTTTTTTCTTAAATTTCTTTAAGTGTTCTTTTATAAATAGAAAGTACAATAAAAACAAACAAGAGGGGGAACAAGCCAGCCTAATTCAGTTGTAGCCAGACACTGTCCCTGGCCCAGATCTAAACCTGAGGTCTGCAAGCCCTTTTAATCAGGGAGTGGGGAGGAGAGTAGCCTGTTCAGAAGGTCAGAGCACACTCATCCCAAGAGCAGACTTCCTCTTGGCAGTAATCAGGTTCGGAGACCCTCAGGAGCTGGATGAGGGGGCTCACGCCTGCATTCCCAGCTTCTCGGGAGGCTGGGGCAGGAGAATCTCAAGTTCAAGGCCAGCCTGTCTCAAAGTCAAGTTTCAAGAGGACTGGGGGGCAGCTCAGCGGTAGAGCGCGTGTGCCGAGCGTGCTGAGCGAGGCCCTGGGTTTCTGTGCCCAGCCCTGCAGGGGAGGGGGGAAGCACAGGAACAGGAAGAGCTTTCTCACCCTGTGATTCAGAGTCTAAGGGGGGTCCCGTCTCACCTCTAACTTTGCCCCTGAGGACACACGGTAGCATCTAAAGCGCTTTCAGGGGTCACCTCTGAGCAGGTGCCGTGGCATCTAGCTGGCAGAGGTCAGGGATGTCAGATATCTGACAGTGCTCAGCACACACCTGCCCCAAAGAATGACCCGGCCTCAAATGTCCTGTGCAGAGAATCCCTGGCGTAAGGCGATCTGCCTCCCGGGGGTTTCTGTCCCGTACTTTATCACTGCTACTTTATCACTCTGCGTCTGACGATTCCAGGGGCCGGCACTGCCTTGCTGGGGAAGGAAGGCGCTATGGCCTGCACCGTGGCGGTGGAGGAGTCCATAGCGCATCACTACAACAACCAGATCAGGACGCTGATGGAGGAGGACCCTGAAAAGTACCAGGAGCTTCTTCAGGTGACTGATGGCGTTTGAAAGGGGCTGCCCAAGGGAGGAAGGACAGATTGGCACAGTTGGCGGGAAGACAGACTAAGGATGTTAAGGGATGACTCAGACAACTAATTGTTAGCTCCTCATTTTAAAGTTGAACAAAATAGCTGGGTGCGGTGGCACACGCCTGTAATCCCAGTGGCTAGGGAGGCTGAGGCAGGAGGATTGCGAGTTCAAAGCCAGCCTCAGCAGCTCAGTGAGACCCTGTCTCTAAATAAAATACACAATAGGGCTGGGGATGGGGCTCAGTGGTCGAGCACCCCTGAGCTCAATCGTTGGTACCTAAAAAAAAAAAAAATAAAAATAAAAAGATTTGAACAAAACGAAGCACAGAGAGGTGTAGCCATTTGCTGTGGTCACATAGCCTGGGGTGAGCGGGGCTACACCCCATGTCTCCTGTGCTTTGCTGCACATCCCTATCATTGGTGGATTCTGAAGAGTGAATGAGACTAAATAGATGAAGTAATAGATGTCCTCAGATAATTTCCCATAGCAAATTGGGGAACTGTTTAAATTGGGTAGTTTCATTTTCCTGTTCTTAGAGATGGGGTCTTGCTGCGTTGCCCAGGTTGGCTGGAATTCCTGGGCTCCAGTGATCCTCCCACCTCGGCCTCCGTGGGCTGCATCTGCAGGTGTGCACCTGCACACCCAGCTCTATGGAACCATGCAGTTTTTAAAGCCCAAATCAGAAGCTGGCAAACCCCAGCCTGTGTCCACCCCTGTTCTATAAATAAAGTTTTATTGGAACCAGCCGTGCCCACCATTTGCCTTGGGGCTGCCCCTGCACACAGCACAGTGGTGGAGTGCCGCAGTTGCGCGCAGGGAGCACCCCAGCCGCCTTCGCTGGCACTCTGTGGCCCCTCCTGGGGACAGTGGCCTCCCCAGCCCCAGACCTGACACGGAGGGTGGGCCTTTGGAATGAGGTGAACCTCGGGCGAGTGGCGCCGACTTGCGGCACCTCCCTTTTATCTAAGTAGGTGATCAAGAAGTTCCGCGATGAAGAGCTTGAGCACCACGGCCTGGGCCTGAAGCACGACGCGGAATCGGTAGGGAGCTGACGTCACGGTGCGCGTGGGGCGTGGAGGGTTCTGCTCCCAGAAGAACTCGCCGTAAAGCGCTGGCCCAAGGGGAGCCGCCCCGCCCCTCGCTAAAGCAGAGCAGCAAGTGCGCGCTGCTCCAGAGGGGGATCCCGCTTCTGCCTGATCCCTGTCCTGTCCCCTTTCCTGTGAGAAACGGGGTGACGCCAGGATTTTGGCAGTGGCAGACGCATTCCTGTCTCTCAAATAGCTTTTGTCCCAAGTTAAAATAAATTGCTTCCCAGATCTTTTCTTTTCTTTTTTTTTTTTTTTAATTTTTTTTTTAAGGGGAGAGAGAGAGAGAGGGAGAGAATTTCAATATTTATTTTTAGTTCTCGGCGGACACAACATCTCTGTTGGTATGTGGTGCTGAGGATCGAACCCGGGTTGCACCCATGCCAGGCGAGCGCGCCACCGCTTGAGCCACATCCCCAGCCCCCAGATCTTCTTTCTGATTCAGAGAAGTCCCCTCTGCTTGGTGGCCCTGACTCACACAGAAGTGAGCACGTGGCATGTTTCCTGTGGCTTTTGTCTGCTGTGCAGTGCTGGGTCTGAGCCCAGGGCCTCCCGAGTGTTGGACACGCGTTCTGCGTCTCCAGCTCTTGTTTTTGCGATGTGTTTTTATTAGTGGGGTTCATCTTGACAACCCCGTGCGTGGACTATCATTAGACCCGTCTGAGTCTCCCGTACGTCCTCTTACCCGCCTCTCGTCCCTCCCCTGTATCCTTTAACTCCTTTAGTTTATTTGTTGATTTTTAAATCAGTGCTCTGTAGACACATGAAGGTAGGTTTGCAGAGGGCCATTCATACGTGGGTGGGACCATCGGTCGGTTTTACTACACAGGGTGCCCCTCCACCCCCTCCACCCCCTCCACCCCTCCACCCCCTCCACCCCCTCCACCCCCTCCACCCCCTCCACCCTTCCACCC